CTTTGCTCTGGCACTCCCCCACTGTAACTTGAGACCATTGCCCCTTGTTCTGCCATCCGTCACTACTGTTACCAGCCTTTCTCCATCCTCTTTAGAATCCCTTCAGGAAGTTGAAGGCTGCTATCAAATCCCCCTTCACTCTTCACTTCTGAAGACTTAACAAACCCAAATCCCTCAACCTCTCCTTATACGTCATGCACTCCAGCCCCCTAATCATTTTGGTTGACCTCCGCTGGACCCTCTCCAATGCACCCACATTCTTTCTATAGACACAATATTCCAGATCTGGCCTCACCAGAGCCAAAAAAGGGGAATAATCACTTCTCTAGGTCTTCTGGCAATGCTCCTCCTAATGCAACCTAATATACCATTAGCCTCCTTGGCTACGAGGGCACACTTTTGGCTTATAGCCAGCTTCTCATCCACTGTAATCCCCAGGTCCTTTTCTGCCAAACTTCTACTTAGGCCGTTGGCCCCTAGCCTGTAACAATGCTTGGGATTCTTCCGTCCCAAGTTCAGGACCTTGCACTTGTCCTTATTGAACCTCATCAGATTTCCTTTGGCGCAATTCTCTAAGCTGTCTAGGTCATTCTGGATGCTATCCCTGCCCTCCAACGTATCTACCTCTCCCCCTAGCTTAGTGTCATCTGCAAACTTGATAAGGATGCAATCCATCCCCTCATCCAGGTCATTAATAAAGATGTTGAACAAAACTGGCCCCAGAACTGATGCTTGGGGCATTCTACTTGAAACCGACTGCCAACCTGACATCAGGCCATTGATCACTACCCGTTGGGCTCGATGATCTAGCAAAATGGATTCCTTGAGGATCCCCTCCATGATTTTTCCAGGGATTGAGGTAAGGCTGACTGGTCTGTAGTTCTCTGGATTGTCCTTCTTACCTTTTTTAAAGATGGGCACTACATTTGCCTTTTTCCAATCACCCGGGATCTCTCCTGATCTCCACGAGTTTTCAGAGATAATGGCCAAAGGCTCCAGAATGATATTTGCCAACTCCCTCAGTACCCTCGGATGCATTAAATCCGGGCCCATGGATTTGTGTATGTTTAGCTTTTCTAACTAGTTCCTAACTTGTTCTTTCCCCATCAAGGGTTGTCCACCTTCTTCCCATACTGCGTTGCCTAGTGCATTTGTCTGGGAGCTGACCTTGTACGTGAAGACAGAGGCAAAGAAAGCATTGAGTACTTGAGCATTTTCTACAACATCTGTCACTGGATTACCTCCCTCATCCAATAAGGAGCCCACACCCGCTCTGATTACCCTCTTATTGCTAACATGCCTGTAGAAATATTTCTTGTTACCCTTCACATCCCTTGCCAGCTGCAATTCCAATTGCGTTTTTGCCTTCCTGATAACTCCCCTGCATTCTCGAGCAATATATTTATACTCCTCCCTAGTCATCTGTCCAAGTGTCCACTACTTGTAAGCTTCCTTTTTGTGTTTAAGCTCACCATGGATGCCCCCGGTACGCCAATCTAGTCACCTACCATATTTGCTTTTCTTGCTGCACATCGGGATGGTTTCTTCCGGTGCTTTTAATAAGGCTTCTTTAATGATGGGGATTCATTGAGATG